AATTGTTTTCGGTGTTATTTCAGGCAGTTATTTATGTATTTAGCTGTAAGAACATGTAAAAATGACTGTAAAATACTTTAAATTATTCTTGTACCAGATTTTTGTAGACTAAAGCCTGAAATTGCTCGATTTTCTGCCGGATTTTGTCTTAATTTTTTTGTCATAAAGATCAGTTCCCGCGTGCGCTAGCAAACCACTATATGACTGTTATAAAAAGTGCTTACTTCCCCTTTGTGGCAAAGCGCTGACAAATGAGACGGTACTCGGTCACTCGGTGCACGCTGGGTATGAGATTAATTAAGCTGAAAATATGCGAATAAAACAGAAATAATCAGCAAAGTTAGGATGACGCTTTCTTTAATCAACTTCGAATAACGATTTCGATTTTGTTGATCGAGTTATCAAAACTCCTTGTCTATTTTCATTTTCGCAGTATAAAACTTCACTATGTTTATGCCACAGAAACACACATGATGTTAGTAGATCCCAGGACTTACGGTCTTACGGTCTCCGTCCCCGATTATGGCTCCTGTTGGCATACATGTTATTTGCCGGCTGGGAGGTCGGTATAGTGAAAAACTGTGACCGAAGTCTTGAAGTCTTGCATTTTCAAGCCCGAGGTCACAGTTTTTCACTATTCGGACCGACCCTAAGCCGGCAAATAACATTTATTTTTTCCTGCGGTAAATTGGCTTACAAGTGGGTTTGTTTACGCGAATTTGTCATTGAATTGGCTTACGTGCCGTCTACAAACCATCGCAAAAAATCTAACGAGCGAACGAGGGAGTAACTCAGATACTAGAAAAGAAAGATGTATTAAAGAACAGATTTTTTTTCCGAACTACTTTATGTTAGTTGCATCTAGTTCACCAGTTAAGTTCTCCAAAATTGTTTTCCCGGTGTGGAATTTCGTGCAAAGTTTGAAGCTGTACTACAAAAAAAATTTCTACGAGTCGCTGCGAATCACTCGAAATCAGACTTTTTCACCGTAAATTGCGTAGAAGAAAGCGAGGAAGTTTGTCAAATGTATTTCACAGAAATTCGTTAAATACAGTAACGATCAGAGAGGTAAACTCAACTGCAATTGACCTTTATTTTTGGTTAAAATTGTGCGGCGAGAGAAACACAGGGTTACGCACCATTATAACGCCGAGCTACAAACAACCAAACAAATTCTCACAACTTCAAAACACTCAATTGAATTTACTTACAGTGACTTTCCTTGCCATTTAAAAGTGAATAGAGATAAACTTGCGTTGATTAATCGTTGGTGGAAGTATAAAAAGGGAAAAGGTTTACCATTACCGCTAGTTCACTCACGAAAATTGACCAACACGACAATTTCACTCGTGCTGTTTCCCGGACCGCGCTAAGAACCAATCAGATTGCAGGATTCGTTACCGTGCCCTCTTGGGAAAAAAATAACGACATTTATTTTCCTTCAAACTAAAGATACTCATTTTTAGGCCCGAGCCCGGTAGATGATGGCAGCTGTGAATGCAGTCAACAACGATAAAACAAAGGTACCGGATGAATTTATTCTTCGTAGTGTTTCGCTCGTTTGTTTTACGGCCGAACTCGATGAGTAAATTGATTCACGGCAATCGATGTACATGCAGGCTTATTATTAAAACTACGGCGGCATACGTGTATTGCGTCTGTGTTTTGTATTTTAGTCTGTTATTTTGTAGTCCTTGATATACACCTCCGAAAATCATACTAAAACAGTTATTCGCCTCAGGCTCAGTGAACATTGGTGAATATTCACCTCGTCTTCGGCGAATAATTGTTAAATATGACCATTGTATTAACTTTATTCTCTTGCAATGTACGTAGTCTTGACACAAATCGTCTCTTAAAAAGCTACCATGCTCAATCAAATATAATGTTTTGATGTTCTCGTGTTTATGATCAAAAACATTTGTAACCTGATAGTCTGTCTGGCAGTTACCTTCAAACCGAAATTTTTTTAGCTTTTTAGACCCTTTCATAGTGATAGGCAGTAAGAATATGTAGCATTTTTTCATGAAGTTTACAATATCTTAACTTACGAACTGGAAGTTTAAACCCTTGAACTGAGATAGTTCACAATAGCTCCAGATACTCCTCAAATTTACAGGATGTAAACATGTCAAACAACTACAGTAGGTCTGCGAAAACAAGAAAGCTTTCACAAGTTTGCATTATTCATTTGATAAACCATGGGCATGTTATCTGTTGCTTTTCATTTACATTTTTCTCGAAGACAAGCCACCATTGTTTTAAGTTCTTTAGAAAAAATGTTTTCTCATCAACTTTTTTTTGAAAACGTTTGGTTCTTGCCATTGACCGAAATGTCGTATATACGCATTACGAAATAGGAAAGACACAATATTCGACAATTTCAGGGTGATCCCTAAGATAACGAACTCAGTGGTAACTCTTCAGGTACATCCCATGCTCATATATCTGCATATACTTATATCTGCATGACAGTGACCAACTCGAAAGCTCATTGGTT